GGATTTGTTTTCGTAGCAACTTGAGATTGTTTTTTATTGTCATCTGACGAATCTGAATCAGATGATGAATCTTTCTTCTTATTATTTGATGTAACAACTGGTGTCGATACAACAGGCTTTTTAGCTACTGGTGTTACAGTAACTAGAACATACACAAATCATAATTTATATACTTTTCTATTCGAAACATTTTACCTTTTGATGTAACTGGTTTTTTTGCTGGAGTATCATCATCATCTGAATCACTACTACTACTTGATGGAGCAGATCTTTTGATTGGTTGTTGAACTGGAGTAGATGTTGATAATGGTTTAATTGGTGCAGTAATTGTCTTTTTCTTCTTATCTTCATCACTTGATGAATCAGAATCAGATGAACTATCTTTCTTTTTCATAGGTGTTGTAACTGAACTTTTAGTAACTGATGTAACTGGTGCTAGAAAGATAAAGAAACACCATACTGATGTTTTATTGATTCAAAAGATATATACCTTTCGATGCAACTGGTTTCTTGTTTGTTGATTTATCATCATCATCGGAATCACTGCTACTTGATGAAGCTGGTTTTTTTATTGGTTGTTGAGTTGGTTTAGCAGCCATTGGTGGTTTTACTGGTGCCTTTTTCGTTGTATCTTCATCTGATGAATCTGAATCGGATGATGAATCTTTTTTCTTGTTATTCGAGAGAGTAGCTGGTGGTGGAATAGCAGCTTTTTGTGTTACTAAAATGAAATAATAGGTTGAATGTTTGATAAATAAAAAAATAGTTACCCTTTGATGGAGCTAAAGTCTTCTTTGTTGGCTCATCATCATCTGATGAATCAGAATCTGATGAAGTATCTTTTTTCTTATTATTTAAAAGACTAGCTGGTGGTGGTATAGCAGCTTTTTGTGCAACTAGAATGATGAGAACCGAATAATAAGTTCAGTGTTTTAGAAATGAAGAATAGTTACCCTTTGATGGAATTGTTTTCTTATTTGTTGATTTATCATCATCATCTGATGAATCAGAATCGGATGAAGAATTCTTTTTCTTGTTGTTCGAAAGAGTAGCTGGTGATGGCACTGCAGCTTTTGTTACAGTTGGTGTAGCTATAAAGAATGAATGTATAGAAATTGATCAGGTATGAATGGAAGAAGGATAATGTACCTTTTGATAAGACTAGTTTCTTGACGGTTGGTTTATCATCATCTGAATCACTGCTACTTGATGAAGCAGGTTTTTTAACTGGGTGTTGTACTGGTTTAGTCGTTGTTGGTACTTTCTTTGGTGCGTCATCATCTGATGAATCAGAATCTGACGAAGAATCTTTTTTCTTGTTATTTGAAAGATTTGTTGATGGTGGTACATTAGTTTTCTTGACGACTGGAGTACCATTAGCTTTAAATAAAACATGTAAAATAGGAGAAGAACACGAAAATAATAGTTACTTTTAACTGGTGTAGATGGTGTTTGTTTTTTATTAGCTGATGGTGCAACATCATCAGAATCTGAACTTGAACTAGTTGATGAATCTGCTTTACGTTTCAGATCAGTTTTAACTGGTTTTGTTACTTTCGAATTTATCGATGGTTTTTTCTCGTCTTCATCACTTGAATCTGATGAAGATGATGAATTTGTCTTTTTCTTATTTCCATTAGATAACAATGCCTTTGGTGGAGGTATTGCTGCCTTCTTTTGAATTTGAGTTGAAACTAGTATTTAATATTTAGTTTATATATTATTTTCTTTATACAAAAAAAGAAATTCTATTTACCTCCTTTTTTTACTGGTATATCATCATCGGAATCATCACTGGTGGATGATTGCCTTGGTGGAACTTTTTTTGTTTGTGTTGCAGCAAGGTTAACCATCTAAAAATTTTTCGAAATAAATATTCGCTGACACAAAAGAAAAAATAAATAAATAAATAAACATGTTTTATGTAATACAAAGAAAAGAATGGTAGTAAATAAGTTAAAATGTAAACGAAGAACCAAAAAAAAGAAGAAAGAAAGAAAAGAGCAACATTTTGAATATAGAGAAGAACCATCTGACCCCTATAATTATGGTTCATATTATTAAAAATATTCGCATTTCATTATAAATAATTGATTTTCTTCACGTTTAATATAAGTTAATATACGATCAATACATAATGTAACTGTTTCTAATGTAACCAATGGTGAAAATACAGCATACATTTCAAAACCTGGTGCTAACTAAAAATTGAACAAAAAAAAAAACATGATAATTTAAATAACAAAGAAAATTTCATTTTAACTAACCCATCCAAGTAATGCTTCATGTTCTCCAGTATAATAGACAATTTTTAATTGATGATTTGGATCATGTAAACGTCCATATACATAACGTATTAATTCAAATAATCTAACATGTTGTTCATTTGTTGTATATGGTACTAATAATTTTGATGATGTATATTGACTTAAACCACGTGATTTATATGCAAAAAATCTTAATTCATTACAAGATATTTCATCAGTTAGAAGACGATCTTTTCCTAATGCAATTTTAATTTGTGTTATGGCATTAACTTTTTTTAATTTCTAAAATATTTGACAAAATTAAAATAAAAAATAAAAATAAATATTTATTTAACCTCTCCAATACGTTGTCTAAAATCTGATAATATTTGAAAATGTTCAGGATTAACAGTCATTAAAACAAGACATATATCACAACCATCATCTAAATATGATATATGTGCATGAAGACAACCTCTAAGAATTCAAAACAAAAAAAAAAAAAAACAATAAATAAATAATCTTGATATACAAAATTCATACCCAGAATCAAATCTTGGTAAACAAACAGGTACCCAAGATTCTACACCTTTAAATGCATCCGAACTATTAACAAGATTAATAAGTAAATAAAGATCAGATGGATGTA